CTCTCTCTCTCTCTCTCTCTCTCTCTCTCTCTCTCTCTCTCTCTCTCTCTCTCGTTATTCTGATTTTGGGACAATGGAATTTAATTAGGTCATTAAAGATTAGTACATTTGATACATCAATTCACTTTTTGTTTCAGTGATCTAATAAAAGTTATAAGACAATACTATGAAAAAGAAGATGTAATAAAACTGAAGAACTTATACGACAATAATGAGAAAATGCTTTTATTATTAATTTATAACATTANATTAGGTCATTAAAGATTAGTACATTTGATACATCAATTCACTTTTTGTTTCAGTGATCTAATAAAAGTTATAAGACAATACTATGAAAAAGAAGATGTAATAAAACTGAAGAACTTATACGACAATAATGAGAAAATGCTTTTATTATTAATTTATAACATTACAATAACGCGAATTCCACAAAAGTAAAACAAAAAATTCAATTAATAGAAATTCTAACAAAAGCCACAGCTTAACTAATAGAAGAGTATACTATTGATAACACGTTCGAAACTTAAACAACGTCAATGAGCTTCCATTCAAAAGCATGATCGATTCAATCTACTCCAAGTCTGAAAGAACATGTAAAAAATTATATTTACCCAAACACAATTTATAATGACGTTTTCTTTTGATAAAAACATGAGTTTACTTGGTTTATCCGTATGTTTTCTTTGATTGCATAATATATCTTGTGATAGTTTTTTCCAAGTAGCATTCCAAACGTTTTCTGGATTTGTGATACTATGTGTTAGTAATAGGACACAAAACAGCTTGCATAGATCCTTTGCTGATGTCCAATAACATGCTTCTTTAATAACTTCAATATTTTCTTCATCATAGTCCTTGCAGATAACAGAAGAAGTTATTTTTTTCCATATCTCTGTTTTAGATTCTTAAAATAGACATTCATATTTTGTTAGTTTTTTTAAGTACACATGCACATAAGTTATTTTTTTCTAAGAAACGTCATTAGATTAAGCTTTGAAGAAAATAAGCAACTTAAAATGTAAACCATAAGAAAATGTAAGATATATATAACAGTGTTGATATGGTTGCACGATAAGTTACTATCAAATAATATATTCGTATTATTTATTAAATTCTTTTTATTGCTATATAGATGTTCTGAATTTAATGCGTTAACATAAATCATTCTTAATTATTACCAATCAATCTTGTGAATTAAATAAGTAATATAAAATAAGAATAACAGTTATGAATTAAAAATATCCAATAGAAACCTGCAAAAAATTGTCAAATTTTGTTAGCAACTGTACAATATAAAATAATTTAATAGATTTTTAAATTTCATTGAGACAAAAATAATATTAAATTTGCATATCACTATTGAAACAAACTGATAAATGATTTGTAGTTAACTACAACCGGTCTTTCGTCTGTGTTATTTATCTGTTAATAGAAAAAACAAACAAATGTAAGAATTTATAAATTTAAATTTTGTTATCGAATAAAAATAGACTAATAAGTTAGTATTGACATCCCTTAGGTGTCTCCTTTATATATACTCTACCTTCCTTTTTTCTTATGTTATTAGGGAGATATTTTCATAACAAATGATGTTTAGGAATATAATTTCATAATAAATAATGAAACAGTTCAAAGAAAGATATTAAAGTTATATTGTCATTAAATTATTTAAAATTAATATGTTATAAACTTGTGCAATTAAATCATATTCAAAATAAGGTAAGTTTTTTAAAACGAATTAACAAATTAGAAACATTAAGGTAAATTGCATTAAAACAATGTAATAAATATGATTTGAAGTTGCACAAGTAATATGTGTTCAAAATAAGTTTATAAAGACGATTAACAAATTAGAAACATTAAGGTAAATTGAATTAANTAAACTTGTGCAATTAAATCATATTCAAAATAAGGTAAGTTTTTTAAAACGAATTAACAAATTAGAAACATTAAGGTAAATTGCATTAAAACAATGTAATAAATATGATTTGAAGTTGCACAAGTAATATGTGTTCAAAATAAGTTTATAAAGACGATTAACAAATTAGAAACATTAAGGTAAATTGAATTAAAACAATTTAATAAATATAATTTGAAGTTGCACAAGTAATATGTGTTCAAAATAAGGTAGGTCATTAATCAACTAAAAACATTAAGGTAAATTACATTTAAACTATAGATATTTAAATATTAAATGATATATAATAAGGAAATAATAAATATAAAAAGTAGTTGATATAACTTTTTGATTAATAAATATTACTATATATATTTAATTTTAATTAAAAAGATCATATAATTGCAAACCAAAAAAATATATCAATTTTAATTAAAAGGATCATAAAACAAAATCACAATCAGCAAACCAAAGAAATATATATGTATATATAAGCTTATAATTCTAAACAATAATATAAATCTACTAATCAAAAAAAAAAGTATTGGTAGCACAAAAAGATGCTATTTAAATGATATAGCTGAGAGATGTTATCAAATAGAGATTTTTTTTTTACCAGATTGAGGAACAAAGATGTTATCAAAATGATATATCAAAGAGGTGTACAATCAAATCATATATAGTTTCAGTGGAGAAATCGTCATAATAGGATATCTGCATATAAACCAAAAGAAAAATCAGCTCTCATGAAATATAAAAGCTTAATGTTCTAAAATAAGAAGAAAAAATAGTTTAGAACATTATTAACATAAAAGTTCATACTACAAAGTTCAATAATTTCATTTCTTCTACTGTGAATGTCTTGTTTATAGTAAATTGATGGATGTTTCTCAATGATTTAGCTTGCATGATAAGCTAAGAAGTAACATATTCTCTAATAAATTCTCAATAAATCTTATACTTTTAAGGTAATATTATTTTTGGAATATCTTGTTGATAAAGCTAAAGGAGAACATCTTGTGAATAGATTGCACCCGAATATTGGTGTAAGTTTTAAATGCATGATTTTAGGAGAGAAAATATCTTATCAATTAATTTTGTTTTAAATGCATGATTTTAAGAGTGAAAATATCTTGTCAACTAATTTTGTTTCTCTGACATCTAAAATATTTAATGGGTATTTAATGAATTAAACAGAGAAAGGATCGCAAAAGGATGTTATTTGAATCGAGAAAACACAAAAGGTAAGTATTTAAATGGATTTCCTTTTTAGTAGTGTCGATGGTAAAAATAAATCAAAAAATAAATTCTTAAAAATTAACCAATAGAATCGCTAGAATTTTTCTGAGAAGGGCTGTGTGAGTGCCACATGGAAAATGTACTTCTGTTTTAATATATAGAGGGATATGTATGTAATAAAGACTATGAAGTAATTAAAAAAAAACAAAATTAATAATAAAATATTTATTTTTTCAATGAAAATTTTGGTTAAATGAATCAATGTTTGATAAAATAGTGTGAAGATTGGAGATAATTTGATAATGAATTTATTTGGTTAGTCAATTGTGATTTTATATTAAATTCTAAATAAAAAAATATGTAATAAAGGGAGAAAGAGAGGGAGATATGGTGATGATAAGAATTAGAGAGTCAGTTATGATCATAATGAAGATGAAAAAGAATATAAGTGAGAGACTGAATATAAGTGAGATAGATTTTGAAATCATTTATTAATACTATGTCAAAGTGTTTAGAAGGTTTAACAAAATCTGGTGAAAATTTTGCAACCAAAAAGAGATAGAAAGAGTTTTAAAATGAAATATTGAGGATCATATTAAGGACGAGGGTAAAAGAATGAATATAGGTGATTGTGAGAGAGGGAATGTAAGTTTGAGAGATTTTGAGATTATTTGATCAACTAAGAGAGAGAGAGAGAAAGAAAAAGAGAGCGAGAGAGGTTCACAAAGACATACAAAAATAATGCAAAGAGTGATACATAAGAAACAAAATGAATGTGTGAAAGATACAAAGAGAACGAAATGAGTAAAATATAAAAATATATTAAAAACAGAGTATCTATGTAAAAGAGAAAGAAAATTACAATATTATTTTTTATTCATATAATGTATAGATTATATTAATGTCCGCAAAGGCGTGCGGGCCGTCCACCTAGTTAACTTATAAAATCAAGGTTATTATTTCAAATTATTTCTCTATTAATGAAAAAGGATATTAGTAAAGTATCTAATTATTTTGTAAGTTGAAACAATCATTTTTTAATGCTTCTTCACTATCAATTAAATTCTTCACTATCAATTAAATTGTAATGAAATAATTTATCGTTAGAAACTTTAATATGAAATCATTGGTTCGACATCAGGATTATCTACAATTCATATAACATGAAACCAAATAAATAATAATAATTCTTGGATATCATGGAAAAAAATTAAAACATTAGACATTTTAACCGAACAAATCAAAACAAATATTAATTTAGAATGGTAGTTATATTTTAGGAGATTAAAAACCAAAAATCCAAACCTAAAACCAAACTGATATCTAAATTAAACAGATCTAGTGTTTCTTTATTAAAAAGTAATGAAACTAATAATTATATTCTGCAAAAATCACGGATGATTACCTAATTAATTATTACTAAAGTATGTACCCATATTTGCGTGTGCACATGCCGCAATTAATACAAATACAAATATTTGAGTATTATAATACAACTAGCTTAAGGTATGTAGAACTGTCTGCACTAATATCGTGTATGTAAGAGCAGGTGCAATGAGGGTATTTAACAGATCCTTAGCAGCAAATCCTAGGTAAATCAGATTAAAAGAAAATCAATAATACACAATTTATTAAGGATCAGTCCTTATCTAAGGGCTAGAAGGATTGAATCCTTATCTACGTGGCACTTCTTCTCCTCCTCTCTCCCTCGTCTCCCAAACATCAACGATATTAGAAGTTCGTTGCTCTCACACACAAGCCGGAGAAAAAACATCAGAGATCGACGAAGCGATTTTGAGAGATTGGGTAACAAGAAACTAAGATTTGTCGGGGTAGAGACAAAGAGAGAGAAATTGAGAGAGATATGGAGCGTCTGATTCTGATGCATAATAAATCAGGAGCTTCTCCTCACGAGGTCGTTCTCTCTGTTCCACCATCTCTTCTTGCTTCTCCGATTCACGTTGCCGGAAGAGAGGTCTCTCTTTTTTTTTTTTTGAACACAAAAGAGAGAGGTCTCTCTATCTTTACTTTTTATTTCATTTCCTTACGAATCACTAATACATAGACGGCAGATTCAGGTAGTGGCCATATTCATTGATGTTTGAGATATTGATTGTTGGCCAGATTCACGTAGTGGCGGTGTTGATTTAGGGTTTTCAATAGACGGCAGCGTGGGAGGATTGATAGATTTAGACGGCCGGTTAGTTCGAAACCAGGGAATTACAAGTTCCTCCTTGAAGAAGATGATTTTCTGCCAATGGATTATGACGCAGTCTGGTCTGAAATGGAGGAATGCAAGAGACTCGGGATTGCAAAGTGTATAGGAGTGAGCAACTTCTCCTGAAAGAAGCTTCAACACATCCTTTCTATCGCCACAATCCCGTCTAGCGTCGATCAAGTAACATCCACCTTCTCCATCGCCAAGAACTAAGCTGTTCTTTTGTTGGTAGAATAGATCCGATTAGCTAAAATGATTGGATATATATATTGTTTATGTGTGAGAAAGGTGGAGATGAGTCTAGTATGGCAAGAAAAGAAACTATAGGAGCTTTGTAAGTCGAAGGGCATTGTTTTGACTGCTTACTCAGTGTTGGGATCAAGAGGAGCCTTTTGGGGAACTCACAAAATCATGGAGTCTGATGTTCTTACAGAAATTGCTGACGCCAAAGGCAAAACTGTGGCACAGGTACCACTCTCAAAAGATATCATCTTAATTTCTAAGTAATGTGAAATTGTGAACTGATTTAATGTGGTTATGATAGCTTGTCTTTTGTGTACGCAGGGAAAAAAGGGAGTGTGGATCAAGTTGCCGAGGCAGCTTATTAGTCTTGCTGAAACTGCTGTTGAGGTGTTGTTGTTAGCTAACAAATTTTTTTCCAGATCCACTTTGTTAATTGTTTGGAAGATTCTTTGTATAACAAACTGATTGGGTTGTATTGTGTTTGATCACATCTCTGTTTATGTGTTTTGAATCCAAAAGTGCTCGTTGAACAAGAGAAGACAAGACGATTTTGCAGGTAATTAACCCAAACAATGCTTCACATAGTACTGATGTTTTGCTTGATACCAAAACTATAACTTGTAAATCTTTCATGTTTTGCAGTGTAAATCCTAGTGATGTTTTAAATTTACATGTTTTGCAATTTTATTATTTTGCTAAGGATTCCATAATAGAAACACCATTGGAGATACATTTCTCATTAGAGTCCTTAACTATTCCCCTAAAAATAAAAAATATTAATCTAATCCTAAGGACTCCAATGGTGGGTAACACCATTGGAGGTGCTCTAATTTCTCATAGCTTGTAATGCATAATTATCCAGTGTAAAAAAAAAACATATACACACAACAACTTGGGACCCAGTTTTATTTTATCGTTCTACCTGGACTTTCTCATTTAGTGTTGTTTGCGTCTAATTAGGTAGTGGGAACCAAAGGCAAATCGACCTCATCACACCACTCCACACATCTAGTCTCATAAAATGAAGTGCACAACTTGTTTGGCCAATATGTTAGCCAAATTTTTCCACCCATTCTCCATTTCAATACACTTCCTTCCATCTCTCTCCCAACTCTCCATTCAGCCCCATCTCCATACTCATCCCTTCCAAAAACCATCCCTCTGCTCTTCGTAAAAACGTTCTTCAAACCCTCTTGGCTCGGCTTCACCGTCATCACTTCTTGGCCGCTCTCTCTGTCATACAACACGGCATCGAAAACAGCAGCGTTTCCTTCACTCTCCTGCTCTGTTCTCCAATCCTTAATCTTCCTCCTGGTTGACATTCTTGCTCTTGCTTTCACCCTCGGAGCCACTTTCCCTTTCCCTTTCCAGAATTTTCCCTTTAGAACTCTCATTACCTCGATCTCTCTCTCCTCGTTCTTCGTCGACCATCCTAGGCTTAGCGCGGACACGTGGTTCGACCCGATTTCCGGCCCCACCCAGACCTGTACCCGCGACGGGAAATATTTTTCCTCGGTGTAACAATCTGCTATCTGATTCTCCATCCCTCTTCTCTTGTTGAACCCTAGGTTCGATACGTGGATGCGTATGTTGTCGACTCGTGCGTTCACTTTTATGTAGTTCTCGTGGAATGTAACGGAGTATTCAAACTGCACGATAACTTCGGCGTGCTGGTGTGACAAAGCGTAGCGTAGGACAGCTTCTTTGGGCTCTACAATCCGGAACTTGATGATCTTGTTGTTATTTGCGAGGTTCATCGACAAGATTGGGAAATAGCCTTTCAAGCTCCAAAGTCCATGGGCTTCTGTTGCATAGGAAAAGCCGAATGATTGATGTGGCAAGGGGCTAGTGATCTGTTTCAACCCGAGATTTCCTAGTCCCACTTCCTTGGAGATCATCCATTTGGATATGACGTAACTTGCAGCACGTACGATACACAGCTCGGCGTCTACACCCACTGAGACGAGAAATGTTCTCAACACAGGGGCATGTTGGCACGTCAGCGATTCCACTTGGGAACCTAGTAAGTGTTGGAAGAAGAAAGAGCCAACTTCGCTAGGCGCGTCGAAGACACATAGCCAGAAAAGGCGGGTGATGAGGATTAAATTAAAGACCGATGAGAAGGATTCCGGCGAGTGAGAGTCCATGACCCAGTTAACCGGACCCGGTTTGATTTTGAGAAGCTCAGACTTTGTGCACGTACTTTCGTCTGTGGTAGGAGAGTAGGAGATTAGTTCTTGAAGAAGCTGGAGAACTAGAGGGAGGAATGGTTTCTCCGATGACAAGACACACGTGTTAGAGACCCATATGGCTGATGATTTAAGGTGGCTAAAACCTTCTGCCATCACTTTGAAAGTGAGAGACAAAGATTCTAGGTCAGAGCTAGAATCTCTTTCAACCCTAAGTTGGATTGAACGAGTCAAGTCCCCTCCAAGCTGAAACACTGCATGTGTATCAGACTCGGAAAAGTCGTGGGACTCCGGAAGCTCGCATATCCACGACCAAGGATCCATTTTCTTGAACTTGTTTTATTTTCTCGGGAAATGTGTGTGTGTATGTTAGATGGGGAAAAGTGGGAGATAAAATTTGAGTATCGGAAGTGACGAACTTTATAGAGAGATTATGTGGTGGAGGAGAAGCCATTAACGATATATCAAAGACCCCCCCCCCCCCCC